GGATGTGAAGGTCATCGCGCAAGCTGCGACGGCCATTGTCACGAGCACCTTTGACGAAGATAACGTGGACAGGGGTTGGTTCTGAAATGTGATAATGATGATACGCCTGCCCCCTACCGAAAACTCCAGGTCTACCACTGCAGCCCAAGCGGAGGGAGGAGACTAGAGCGAGGACGAGGAGAAGGGAACAGGGAAATCGGGGATGGTTAGGTGGAAACAGGGGGGTGGAGGGGACAGTTGGCGGGAGGGCGGGAAGGCACAACGCGGGGGGAGAAAGAATTAGCCAGAGGGGGTGACAAGGAACACACGATGAAACGACCCCGCCCCAAGAGAAACACATGTTTGACACAGGTTTACATTCCCCTTCCTGAGGAGGCGGTCAACGTTGTGCTCCAGCACAGGCAGTCTTCGGCCAACTCGCCGCTGGCCATTATCGCCACAGCAATGACGAATGCCGAGTACTGGTCGGACAAGCTGGCCGCAACGGCAACTGTGGTGGCGAATATCACCCGCATCTTGCCGAAGCTTGCAGGTGCGCTCGAGACACTGGTGTCGCTGCCTTCAGACCCCATCGTGCGCCTGACGAAGGTGACTGAATTGGTGAAGTTGTGCGTCCTTTGGTGCAAGCAGGTGCCGCTCCCGACCTTGGCGACCTTCTCTGACGGCCTGTACGCCGCCGTGATTGACGCCACGGAGATCGTCGCAGGCAAGCAGCCTGCACTTGAGGAGCTGACGCCGAAGTTGGACCTCCTGTCGGAAGCTTTCCTGGTGTGGCCTTCCAACGGCAATCTCACCAAGCGCCACCAGGAGATCGAGGAGGTCACGCAGAGCCTGCGCTGCAACGAGAAGTGGGCCACCATCGACGCCGTGGTGGTGTCCACGCTTGTCGTCATCAACCCACCCGCTGAAGCGGACCCCGCCCTGTTCGACAATTTCCCGCCCCAGACCTTCCACGTCATCAACCCCTTCCTGGATGAGCTTACGAAGATCTTGAACGTTTCGGTTGGCATTAAGTTGTCGGAGGACCCAGAGCAAGCGAGCAGGGCGAACTCTCTGCTGGACAAGCTCGTCAAGACGCTGAGCTTAAACGTTACGGATAGTGAGCATGATCTACATTCGATTATTGCAGCCGTTCGGGAGATGGCGAAGGTGGACGGTCTGGCTGATTCCACATGCAGGGATAAAATCAAGCTGTTCGATCGCATCTACAGCTTCGCCAATACATATGGACCAGCACTCAACGGTTGGAAGGATGCCGAGTGCAAGGCGGCTTACGCGCTTGACCAGAGCATGTTCGAGACGATGCTGCACGTGGACAGGGCGAGGGCCAAGCTCTCCAAGTACATCGAGGAGCTGAAACCGAACACGGTCGTCCAGGGGGACCCCATCATTGCCAAGGTAGATGAGATGATGGAGGCATCCCGCATCTACATCAAGAACGTCCACGAGCAGCGCGTGAAGTCGCTGGGCAGCACGCTCCAGAAGGCGCAAGAGTCGCTGGATATCGTCAAGCACGGCGGCACGAACGGCGAGGCGTGGCACAAGGACCTGGACCCCGCTGCCGTCTCCATCGATGCGGTCTTGCAGAAATCGACCGAGGTCCTCACCGCGCCGCGCATCAGGGAGCTGATCGCTGCATTCGGTGCAGTTGCCAAGGCCGCCCGTGATCAACCTGCTTGTGGGCGCCCCCCTGGGTTGACGAGTTGGATTGTCCTGTCGATGGGCGTCTTGGGCGGTGGTCGCGAGGTGTACCCGCCCTCCCCCCATCGCCGAGGCGGGGGTGGGCGGGTACGCTTCCTGACTGCATCGCCCAATAGGCCAAGACCAGCTTCAAGGATGCGCTCGAGGCCATTGGCGATCGGCTGGACGATGCAGTTGAGAAGTTAGTGATGGACCAGATCCTAGCCGCCAAGGTGACGAAGGCAGAGGCGCTGATCTGCGTCGCGATGAGCTCCACTGCCAAGGGCCAGCAATTGCGCGACAAGGTTCAGAACGAGCTGTTCGAGCTGAAGGCATCGCTGCCGCAGGGGGTGAAATGGAACGAAGTGCTCTTCCGTCCTCTCCAGAAGCCCGTTAATAAGATCATCCAGGGCTGAGCGGAGATCGGGTTCGCCGAAGCCCACAGGGGCTGGCTCCTTAATTCGCCCCGAAGGGGGCCCCCCTCCCACTGAGGGCCTGCGTGGGGGAGTAGGGGCACAGAGGCTTGTGCCCTGAAGTGCGGGTAACCCTCACGACACTCGTGCCACAGTCGGGCAGGGGGACGGTCAGTGCTTTGCCCGCCATGCTCGCCCCTGCCACAGCAACACACCGTGACCATAGACGAGGGTACGATGCTTGAGCGTAGCCATGGTAGTGGCACGATGAGGGTAAAGAGGAGGATCGGTGGTAAGGAGGATGATGGTCATCAGCATCATGAGAGCCTGGAGGGCTACGAACCAACTCAACATGGAGAGAGAATTAGAGAGCGAAGAGGGCTGCGAGAGGGCTTGTCGAACGGAAGAAAACACATGAACCACGCGAAGAAGGAAAAGAGGAGGACGGAGCGGGAGGGCAGGGTGGGTCGAGTTAGAGGTAGACGGAGGATGGGCGATTGAGGGAAGAAGGATGGACGGTGACCGAAGAACTAAAAACGATGAGGGTCAGACGACGAATGTAGTTGGAGGAGGGGGTGTAGGATGGGTGTGAATATTGATATCATTAACTCTTCATCCTTCTCTGTTTCTGTCATGCTACTTAGTTGGCTATGTGTCAACCCAACGTGTCCTGCTTTTTTAGTTCCTGCACTACCTGTGTTTGTTGCTGGCCAGGGGCAGGTGGCAGCGGGCTTTGTCGAAAGAGAGAAGCACGACCGCCGTTTGGAGAGAAAACCTTGTCACCGCATTGTCTCCAGCTGCCCCCTTCCGCTCTTTGCCCCTCTTCCGTCCGCGTGGCAGGGCAGGGCGCAGCGTGCAGGACGTCGACACCAAAGGATGTCACGGGCTTGTCGTTCTTTATCGTCTGGCTTATGTGTTCTCTCGTTTGCTCTCGTGCGCCCTCCCCCCTCACTCCCTCACTCCCTCACGCCGCCGCCTCCCCTCCCCTCTGCGTCCCCCACCCCTCCTCACCCTCCCCCTTTCGCTCTGGCCGCCCGCTCTATCTCTCTCTCGTCTGCCGTCATGCCGCCCTCGTGCCTCTCTCTGTCTCGCCGCTCCTCTCGTGCGCCATCCAGCAAGTCCTTCCACCCATACTTTCCCATCCACCCTGCCCCCTCATCGCTCCCCCCTTCCTCTGCCATCCTTAATGCCCCCGTGTGTATGTACCGTGCTTTTGTTCGCTTGCTCAGTCCATCCAACGCAAAGGTGTGACTGTTGGACCACGCCAGGCAATGGATGTATCGGCCATCGCAGCAATTGTAACTTGCAAGTTGCCCTATGTCTTTACGACGCCTGCCTGCACCAATGCCGTTCCGCAAACCAATCGGTGTGCTGTATGTACATGTATGCAACCGCTGTCGTGCATCTCGTCTTATCGTTGGGGGTGTGCATGGTCATCCCCCGTGTGTGTGGAACGCAACGTTTCTCCATGAGCACTGGCGTGACCGCCTCAGCAAACCTATTCCCAGGGTCATGTTTCAAGTCATATTCGAGGTATTGGTGGGAAAGCGCCGAAACCTACTTCAAGAGTCACTCTGATTTATTCCCGCTTCCCATTACATCTGCCTCGACGGTTACATCATAAATGTGCTTCCCGCTATCTCGATAATGAGCGCGACGTGGCCCATCAAGTCACCAAACACGAACACCCACGAACGGTACACCCAGCGCGCCTCCGTGCTTTTCCCCATTGCTCTTGCAAGCGGTATGCCTGTTTGGACAAGGGCGCACACCCCGTCCTCCGGTTGCCTGAGATGGGCCGCTTGATTCCAATATGGCTTCGGCCCAAATGGCTTGAGCCGATGATGATGATGATGATGATGATGATGACGATGATGATGATGATGATGATGTTTTTCTTAAGGTGCATGCGATGCGCGACCCAAACGTCACCGGTCGGGGACATCCGACCCTCCATGCCTGATGTTTGCGTGTACTCCCTTCGGGATGGCGCGCGGACTGATTCGATGGGGCTGCAGCAGGAGCAACGAGCAAGGATCGCAAAGGCCAAATCAATTCACTGGCCGACCGATTGTCGTGGACTCATTGAACCTACGGGTCCTCACGTAATTCGCGCGCTTGTCTTTGTACGTGTTGGTGAGCACGTCCTGGACAGTGAAGTTCAGTTCATCCTCGATTGAAGCAACTTTCCCTTCCCAGTTCCAATACAGGCAATGAACTTGGTCCCCTTGTTGCAGATCATCGAGTTCTGCGCACGACAACTTCTCCACAGTCACAATGCACTCTGGCAGATAAGACAATGGGATGCCATACTTGCGGAATACCTTGCTCGGGACTTTCACCACAGCAAAGTCGAATGCCTGCATGAGCTGCGTCGCTGCCGCCCACATACCTAGCGAAGAACAACCCGACGCCAATGCTACTGCCGATACTGTTGCGGAGGCCACGTCGACGAACAGCTCAAGGAATAAATACACAGCACGGCTTGATCGCTGAGTAGCCTCGGGCTCGCGATGCGCGTGAGAGCCGTCCTTGATCATGTTCCCACAACACATGATGATGTCCGGGCAAACCAGCGAAATGATGAAACCGAGCTGCAGAACGACGCCAAGCACGAACAACATCCAATTCAAAGCAGTGAACTCTGCGCATGTGCTTCCCGCTATCTCGATAATGAGCGCGACGTGGCCCATCAAGTCACCAAACACGAACACCCACGAACGGTACACCCAGCGCGCCTCCGTGCTTTTCCCCATTGCTCTTGCAAGCGGTATGCCTGTTTGGACAAGGGCGCACACCCCGTCCTCTGGTTGCCTGAGATGGGCCGCTTGATTCCAATATGGCTTCGGCCCAAATGGCTTGAGCCAAAATGGATACGGATGATGGTGATGATGATGATGATGATGATGATGATGATGATGATGATGATGATGATGATGGACCAACAGCGGGCCACGCTGGAGCTCGCCCATGTCATCCATCCTGCAGGCCGCAGTCCAGCTGCCCAGAGACCTGGCTTTGCTTCAGGCTATCAAAACCGAAAGCGACCTCATGGACGGAATGCCGCTCATAGCTCATTCAACAGGCCCTTCGCGCAGCGCCGCGACAGTGCGTCGATCTCTGTGGCCTTAGCGAGCTGCACGCCTTTGTCGCCCTGGTTGGTGATCTTGATCTTCTCGCCCTGTAGAATTTCGAGCGCCTCCGGTGCCGTTCCTGTCGCGTATTCATTCTTGAGCTCCTCCTCGATGTGCAAGCCAGTGCCATGAATGCGCTTGATGGAGCAGCGCGTCTCGCGCTCTGGAGCCCGCTTCAACCCCTCAGGGGAAGCCATCGCCATGGAGAGCCACGCCTCGAAACGAGTCCAGAAACGCACGTTGTATTCCGTATCCTGCAATATCAGCACATCGGCGCCTAAGTACAGCAACGCCATGTTGGAGAGCATGGAGTAGAACTCCAAGTTCTCTTCAGGGGTCCTGTACGCCCTGCCACCCTGAGGAAGGCATAGGTAATCATAGAACACGTACTCGATGTTGGGGTGTTCCTGCAGGTACGCTTGCAGTTGCTGGAGTTGCACGTCATCGCAATCAGGATGCACTGAATCCTCCCAGCGGTGGCTGACCGCCAGGTACTTCAAACGGTACTCACCCTTGATGATCATCGTCAATGAAATTGTACGTCGCGTAATGATGTGTGGGCACTATTGCCTCAATTCACGGAGGTGGCGATGGCGATGGCGATGGCGATGACGACGACGACGACTATGACAAGGATCATGATAACGACCACGATAACGTTAACGTTGACTCTAACGATAACGATAACGATAACAATGATGACAACCGTAACGGCCCACTCCATTAGGGGCAGTCCGCCCCCCCCCCCCCCTGATGGGGGCCGCCCGAGCAAGGCAGGGCGCCCACCCAATTGGGTGCACATGCCTCGACCGGGGAGCGCCTCCAAGCGGGCGTGGACACCGAGCAACCTTAGCGGGGGGAAACGGGCGGGCGCACGGCCCACCTGCCCGCGCTGGCACTGGTCGAAGCGAACCCCGTCGACGGCCAGAGCCAAGAGCAACGCGCGCACCGGGGCCAGCGCCCAGACGGATGAAGCTCGCGGCTCCAAGTCGGCCACACAGTCCAAGGCGGCGTCGGACAAGCAATCTAACGATCGCGGGTGGATCCCAGCAGCACCTGTGGCGGTGCTCCATGGGAACCTTCGTATTGCACGTCGAAGATCTTCACCTCATAGTGGATCAAGCTCTGGCCAGTCAGCATACCCAGCCGGCACCGGGATCGGGGTCAGCTTGTTGGTCTGCCACACATGCTGCCATCGTGCCCCCTCTGCGTCAGCTAGCTCCCAAGGCTGGGACTGGCGGGTGTACTGCACGAGCTCCTGGCTGCTCCTGCCCTTAACTAGGCGGTGAGCTGCTTAGGCGCCTTGCACGAACGAGTCGGCTGCCCCTCGCGTGCTCTAAGGCCGTTTCCATGATCTGCCGGCCTGCAGCGTGCGCACCTCCCACCGCCATGTGCACCGCTGCCATTCACCAGCCAGCCACCAAGCCCTCTCCGAAGGCTGCTGCGGCGGTGAACACTCGTCGGCGCCATCTCCGCTTGGCTGCTTGCGAGGTCACCTTCTCGGCCAGCAAGCCTGGCTCGTGTGCGCGCATGCCACAAAGCTCTCGGGCTCTGTGCTGGGGATGCGGACATAGGCAACTCAAACAGCGTAGGTCGCCACCTTGATCCAATATCCCTACAGAAAGCCAGACAGACAGACAGACAGACAGACAGACAGACAGACGGACGGACAAACGGACAGACAGACATACAGACAGACAGACAGACGGAAAGACAGACAGACAGACAGACAGACAGACAGACAGACAGACAGACAGACAGACAGACAGACAGACAAACAGACAGACAGACACAGACACAGACAGACAGGACACACAGACAGACAGACAGACAGACAAACAGAGAAGAGCAAAAAAAGCACGGACGGACGAAAAGACGGACGGACTGACGGATGGACGGACGGAGCGGACGGAACGTGAGGGAACGGGAGGGGAGGGGACGGAACGAAACGGGACAGGACGGGGCCGGACAGGCGGACAGACGGGCGGACGGACGCATGGATGGAGGTACAGACGGGCGGACGGACTGACGAACGGACGGACCTACAGGAATACCTACGGACGGACCGGATGGACGGACAGGCAAACGGACAGTTCGGACGGACGGTCCGTAGCCATTTTGGCTCAAGCTGTAAGCCATTTCTCGAGGTGGCTCAGTGGCCTTTTTGGTATCTCAACCTTTGTCCTAGCTTCCATTTGCGATTGTGAAGGGTGCAGCTCAGCTGCGTCACAGGGATCACCGGGAGCGGTTCCCTCACGACCGCTGGCAAGCAAAAGATGACTGTGGGTACCTGACCCCTAGCGCCAGCCACTGGTGGATAGCTTTCTGCCATGCCTCCGACTTTGAGCATGGGTCCTGCTGTCGGACAAATACTGGATTCGGGCTTTCCTGCAAGTTCCCAGGCACCAGTATTTCTCCGACGGCCGCTTAATCCTCAAAGATGGGTTCAGGTACCCTTAAAGCCTACAGCGAGCTTGGCATTCTCCTCCTCCTCCTCCTCCTCCTCGTCCTCCTCCTCCTTCTCCTCCTCCTCTTCTCCGTCCTCCTCGTCCTCCAAATCCTCGTCTTCCTCGTCCTCCTCCTCCTCCTCCTCCTCCTCCTCCTCCTCCTCATCATCATCATCATCCTCCTCCTCATCATCACCCTCCTCGTCCCCCGGGTTTCTTGCACTTCGCTGGGGGTAACAACTGGGAGGTCTTTCTCGGAAAAAATCGGGGCAATTGAGCCCCATTGGGGGGCTGCTACGCCGGATTAGGCCGCGGACTAAGCCGGATTGAACAGGATAAAAAAGGGGTTTAACGAAATTACGCAATATTAAACAGGATCGAGCCACCGGATTAAGCCGAACTCAGTCGGATTATGCCGGTTGCGGACCAGGGCAAAATGAGGAGTTGGCCTCCAAGGAGTTGCCACGCGAAACTTCGCATGCACCATAACAAAAGCACTCGCGCTGACAGTGTAAGCGGGCTCCTCTTCATCTTCGCCGCCATGTCGGGACGTCCCACCGCCTGTAGGAGGACTCTGCGTTAGGTGAGACGCTCATGTAACAGCACACCAATGAAAGCAGGACGACGACGGAGACGCTGACTACGATGTATATATGCACTTATGATGACGACTACGACGACAGCGGCAGCGCCGACGGCAGCGCCGACGAAGGCGACCATGACGACAACAGCGAACCTACCTGCATCCCCACATCGATCGGATCCGCACAGGCAGGGCGCCGCAAGTGATGGGCCTGTTATCCACCACTACCACCACCATATGTTCGAGGGGGGAAGGAAATGGAGGATGAGGAGGATGAGGGGGATGAGGAGGAGGAGGAGGAGGAGCAGGAGGAGGAGGAGCACCCCCTCCCCCTCCAATGTATGGAGGCGGTGGTGGAAAGCGGGCCAATCAGCAGGGGGTCCCTGGTCGCAGGAAGAGGTATGAGATTCGACGTCGCGAAAACATGCAGGTCCCGATTGTAGGGCGACGAGATCTATGCATATCCACTGCTCCTGGCCAGGCCAATCCTGGGCCCAGGAGCAGCGTATACGCCCTCCTGGCCTGGCCAGGGAGGCATATACACAGCTCCTGGGCCCAGGATGGGCCTGGCCAGGAGCAGTGGATATGTATAGATCTCGTCGCCCTAGATGGAAGCCCCTCCTCCACACCGCATCTCTTCGCAGCACCTCCCGACCCGGATCGGCCTGCGGGGGCACCTGGCGGCTGTCCTCTGCCCGCCCCGCCCCGCCCCGCCCCGCCCCGCGGATCCCCGCGGCCGCGGCGGGGGCCGCGCCCCTGGGCGGCACACCGATATGGGCGCAAGTGCAGAGGGCGGATCCATGGGGGAAAAAAGGTCAGTCGGACAGGAACTTGGAGTTTGGATTTTGCGCCCTCCGCCTCCTCCTCTCCTCTTCCTCCTCCTCCTCCTCCTCCTCCTCCTCCTCCTCCTCCTTCCCTCCTCCTCCTCCTCCTCCTCCTCCTTCTCCTCCTTTTCCTGCTTCTCCTCCTTCTCCTCCCCCTCCTACCAAGTGGCCTCCTCGTCTCGCCAAGCAAGAGGGCGACGACGACGACGACGACGACCACCACCACCACCACCACCACCACCACGACGACGACGACGACGACGACGACGACGACGACCACGACGACGACGACGACCACGACGACCACGACGACCACGACGACCACGACGACCATGACGACGACTCCACGCCCGCGAACCCCGCCCAGTACCGAGCCGCACCCACTTCTGAACCTGAGCCCGCTCGTGGTGACGAGGCGGGCCCCCGTCGGTTTCCCCCTGGGCCCCTGGGGCCTCCCGGGGCCCCTCGGGGCCCCTGCAAAGCTCCCCAGCCCTCCCCGGGCTTCCCGGGGCCCCCCGAACCCCCCAGGCCCCCCAGGGCCTCCCACTAGGCCCCAGGGCCCCCTGGACAGGTCGAGCAGGTCGGGGCTCCCATCGGAGCGGGTCGGCGTGGGTCGAGCTCCCCCCGGGGCGAAAGAGAGAGAGAGCCAACCTCACGTGCGGGTCGGGTCGGGCGGGCGGGACATTAAATTAGCCTGACGAAGGACCCAACCATATGCAGGTGTGAGTACCGCAAGTGTGATTCACTTTTTCGGTGGTGATCCTTATGAGGCAACGAACCGTGAACCGTGCTAGGGGTGTGCCGACATGAGTGGCGTGGTACACAACGCGGACTGCGCCACGGGGACCTTCGGTGGGGCTCCATATGGTGCCACGAAACGCTGTACTGCGTGAGGGAAACGCATGCGGGTTGCCCCACTGGGACCTTCGGCGGAGCTCCTATGGGGCCACGAAACGTGTGAGGGGTGTGCCGAAATGAGTGGCGGGGACGCATGCGAACTGTGCCACTGGGACCTTCGGCGGAGCTCCTATGGGGCCACGAAACGTGTGAGGGGTGTGCCGACATGAGTGGCGGGGATGCATGCGAACTGTGCCACTGGGACTTTCGGCGGAGCTCATATGGGGCCACGAAACGTGTGAGGGGTGTGCCGACATGAATGGCGGGGATGCATGCGAACTGTGCCACTGGGACTTTCGGCGGAGCTCCTATGGAGCCACGAAACGCGTGAGGGGTGTGCCGACATGAATGGCGGGGACGCATGCGAACTGTGCCACTGGGACCTTCGGCGGAGCTCCTATGGGGCCACGAAACGTGTGAGGGGTGTGCTGACATGAATGGCGGGGACGCATGCGAACTGTGCCACTGGGACCTTCGGCGGAGCTCCTATGGGGCCACGAAACGTGTGAGAGGTGTGCCGAAATGAATGGCGGGGACGCATGCGAACTGTGCCACTGGGACCATGAGTGGCGGGGACGCATGCGAACTGTGCCACTGGGACCTTCGGCGGAGCTCCTATGGGGCCACGAAACGTGTGAGGGGTGTGCCAACATGAATGGCGGGGACGCATGCGAACTGTGCTACTGGGACCTTCGGCGCATGAATGGCGGGGGCGCACGCGAACTGTGCCACTGGGACCTTCGGCGGAACTCCTATGGGTCCACGAAACGTGTGAGGGGTGTGCCGGCATGAATGGCGGGGATGCATGCGAACTGTGCCACTGGG